TATAGTATATAAATCTGCATATTCCAGTATGCCACCGAAGCCAACATTGCTGTTTCAGCTCCGTCTTCATCGCTGTCTTTTTATTCTTCTATTTGGCACATTTTGAATAGTCGCATAAAAAACGTTTTGGTTTGATAAAATTCTTAGATTCCTCATCATTCTTATCTTCTTGCATATTGAATTATTTGCTCACTCCACTTAAGTTTTTAAATCTTTCAATACGAAAAATAACTTCAATGGTCACTGAAGTGTTATGGTTTTAAGGACAGAACTCTAACGCTATCCAGAGCTCAATTTTCCCCAGCCATGAAATTTTAACCTTAGTACAGAGCCACGTTCCAAGCCTTGTACAGATTATCATTGCACGTGGAAAAAACAGTTTCATCCGAACTATCATATATTTTTCATCTTTTTTATGCACTAATGTCAAAAGATGTTTTGTTGACGACGCAGTGTTAATCGAGATTCAGTAAAATTAGTTCGATAAAATGGAAAGGCAAAAGTGGCCTGGCAATCTGTTTACACTGCAAAATCATATATTACGCAGTGAAGCCCAAAACACATGATGACAGCTTTTAATAAAAACTTAGCGTGAGGCGAATACTATGTTTTCCCGTATCCAAACCCTAAAAAGTTCTGAAATCTTTCGAAATGAAATAAAGAATTGAAATAAAACATTTTAACAAATTATTTCATGTAAATTTCAAGGTCAAGAAAAACTAAAAATGAAATACATTACCTCAAAGTAGCGAAATTGGAAATATATCGATTTTTCTGCTTTGAAATTACTGAAAGTGGAAAAGGAATATTTTATAAGAAAATGGCTGAATAAGAACCGACAAGAAAGCAAATGAAAGAAGCATTCCCGTTTTTTCTTTCTCTCTCCCTCTCAATGAAACAATAGGTGAACATTCAAAAGAACGAAAATAGCATAATAAGTTGCATTCTTAATTACTTGGATATTATTCAGCGCAGAACATAAAAATACAAGAAGCAATAAACGCCAGAGGCATATAATAAAAATAGCGCTTTCGGCAAAGCAATATCTACGGAATAAAATAAAGTAAGAATGAGGAAATTTTCAAGAATCCTATACATTTATTACTCCAGGCCTTCAATCCCTTCTGGAATTTGTACACTGTTATGATATTAAAAATATCAAAAGCAAATATATAATAAGAAAATATAATAAGAAAATAAATCATAAAAATGCAAGATTCGGTACAACACGTGCATGCTTTTTATGTCTTATTTATTCAAGAAAATATGCATGAAAAATCCCAAGGTACATGCATTCATAAATAAATAACAGATAAGTCTCGTAATGGAAGATAAAAAGACACACATTCTAGTCTCTGAGAATCTGAATCAAAGATACGCTGCTTAATACAGAATTCATACGTGATTCTATAATATAACTTGAAAGCACCTTTAAAAGATACATGAGAGATTAGTAATAACATCAAATATTTTCTTAACAAAACAAAAAAGTGAAATCTCGAATAAAATAAGTATAATTCAAGAAAAATAGTAAAACGTAGTCTAAAATGAACAAAACAAGCTTCAGGGAATAGAACATTCTGATAATATTTCAAAATAACTGACATAAGTATTTTTTTCGAATATTAAGCAGAAATATTTCGTATAAAGTATTTACAGCAAGACTTATTGCTTTTGACATGAAAGAAAGGCTTAATATACGAGAAATGTAAAACAAAAGTCTATTCCTAGAATTTTTGAAATATTTAAATTTTTGGATAAACAAAATTCTATTTGAGTGACAAAGAGAATAACAACCGGATGAAAACTTGAACATCTTTTTAAAAACATCTCAGAATGTTTAAATAATTTTCTGGAATATATTGCAGTCATAAAACCACCGAATTTAATTATAAGCAATCTAAACATTTTAGCATTTCAGAGAAAGATTTGCTTAGTAAGTAAAATGGTCAATCAGACTCAGTATCTATTTCATAAATCTGTAATAAACCTGACAACAGCAGCAGGAAACAACAAATAGAATTAAATAAATATGTGATATTCATTAATTTAAAGCGCAAACATTATATTAACTGCATACTTTCTGTGTCGAGAAAACCCAATCACGTAAAAATACTATTTCAGTTTGATAAATCTTGACATAGGCAATGAGAATAGAATGATGAAAAAACAATCAAAATTTGATAGAAAATTCTTTGTATGACATATACTCGTCTTTGGCTACAGATCACGAAGAAATTCGGTTGATATAGTTTATTATACATGTCGAATCCTGTTGTGTGAAAATTTAATGTAATATATAAAGTAGCTGCTCAGAATACTTGGACATGTTACCATGCCGCATGTATCTTCGATTGGGTAAACGATTTAAGATCTGATAGGACGATGAAGAACTGTGATATCCCAAAGACATTCCGTGAAGATCTTTATTTTCTGATAAAGAAAGCGTCTTGCTGGAAGAGTCCCGCAGTTGACATAGGTTTCGCAAAGACATTCAGTGAAGATACTAATTGCCATGTAGTAAGGACATCATCTTGCTGAAAGACATTCCAGCGAAATAAGGCACTGTTAAAAATCTGGATTATGAGAATATAACCTACGTATTACCGAGCCATTCAAATGTTATGAAACGTGGAGCTCTTCAAAATTTACTTATAGATAATATAGACGAAATCCACTATACCGCGACATGATCTATGCACTGGGATATTATCACACAGGTTCTCCAATAATCAAAGCAACTTGAAAATCGTGATTTCTCGCTGAACCTCCGAAGGACAGATCGTAATATCTCTGGTAACAGGCACTGGGTTAAAGAATAATATCAAAATAACTGCCCTTTTGAAGTTCTAAATTTAAATCCGAAATTCAGACCTATTAGACAAAAATATATAATAGGTTAATAATCTGAAAACTTATATTTCGGAAACATTTGAACATTCGAAGGTAATAAACTTTATATAACCAATGAACCAAGGAATTATCCAAAACATACATATGAACTATTGTGCATAACTTTAGGTCACTGTCCCTCATCTTGAAACTTTGAAAATATATGTATATGTATGCTTAACTGTAAATAAACAATGGCTATTTAATTAATGGTATAAATACCATACAACTCTTTGTATATAAGTATTACAATTATATCACTTATATTTAATCACTTATATTTGTATATAAGTAAGACTTATATTGTAATATAAGTGATTTTTACAAATTTGTAAGAAGTGTGAATTTGTGAGAATTGAAAATTGGTGCGTAATTTGTTCTACTCGTGAAAAAAATCAAGAAGCCAGTCCATTCTATGGGAAGCGAATGCTGAGCAAACTACCAGTACCAATGGTTTACTCATTCGGTAACTCTTAAACGCGATTAAGTACTAGATAGGCAAAAGCCAATTTATAAAAGTCTATTAGAGAATACATAGTATATTAAGTTCAAATTTGATTTAATACTCATTATTATATTATTATTAGATATTTAAGACATTTGAGAGGTATTTTCAAAAATCTAGAATTAAAATAAAATTTCATACTCAGAAACCAAGGAAGAAATATAAAACTTCCTTACATATACGCACATACAAAGATTGAAAATATGCACTCAAAATGACACCCACAATATAGAAATAAAACTTCAAAAATTTCCCGTAACTTCAATCATTAACGTTGTAAAATTCTGTAATATCCCATAATTGTTTTAAAATATTCATTCAAAAGAATATCTGAGATTTTTCTAGTATATTTTCTAAAAGATACTACATGAAAGAGATACTACTTTGAGGAGGGGAAAAAAACTTCTATCTTGTTAGCATACAATTTTTCCTTTTTTCCTGTTCAGCATGCAACAGGATTTCCTTCTTTTAATGGATTTTATAGTTTAAAAAATTTGAATCTAAAGAAAAATAAAAACAAGAAGCAATTTCACAGAAATAAAAAAAAATAAATAAAATAACCATGAAACAACCAAATGTGAGGGCGTTATCTGGAAGGGTAGAAAATATTTCAAACTAGCAGAACTTTTTAATCTGTTCTTAAGTTTGGAAGATAAATTATCGTTGATGATTAATGAAAAACGCTTAAAAACACTGAAAGATTACCTGTAAGCATTGCTTAAGTATTTTTACAGCTTTAAAATTCCAAGTAATAAAGTGCTGTGAAATACAATTTTTAAAAATTTAAGTTCTGCTTCAAGAACAACATTTCTGCACCGTGTAATTTCTTCTAAAGTACAATAGATCATAAGTTATATTATAAGGATATATAGCTTCTTTTAGCTTGATTCAAATTATAACAACTCTTGTGGATTTCAGATAACTCAGCTGCGGCAATTACCATAAAAATAATATTCTACGTATATTTTATAAGCTGAATTTTCACTCCTAGAATATGTAACAGTCAAACAACAGACAAAGAATAATAAAAGAATAATAACATTTCAAGTTTATTCTACATCACCAGTGAGGGATTAAATTAAAATACGCAAACATAAATGTACCAGTCAGCCTGGTCCTGGTTTAGTCTCAAAACTCCCTTTCAAAATGGCTATAAATTCAATAAGTTGAATAAAGAATAAAGCTTGCCTTCACCACGACAGAAATTTAAACACACATTTAGGTAACAGGATCTAATCCCAGTCTACAATGCTCACAGGAAGACCAGCATAAATATCGCCAGTAAACGTTTCTTTTACCGGCAAGACAGCCCAAATCTGACACCTATTCGTAATTTCTCTATCTCTTTACAGTAAAACTGATTGCACTCAAATCTTTATAAATTCTGGAATGAGCGAACCTCGTGGCGAAGAGAGACAGAAAGGAAGTAAATTAAATAACATTTGCTCTTCCCCTCATGGTTTGTTAGTAAAAGTTAAATGCCATAATTTCAATTTGGAATTTGAGATAATATATAAAATCAGTCTTTCAAAATTTGTAAGTTGCTTGTTTATCTAAGTTGCTTTAAGTTTGGCTCAAAAGCTTTATATTAATAAATACTCACACAGCACTTCCAGTGGTAGTTTAATTTCCTTGGTAAGTGTCTCATAAGCCGCATGAATGGCAACGCATTTTAGAAGTTTGCCATTATGATCCTTCTGGAACACATAGTCGAGGACGCTTACAGCCTGCCACGTCTTGGCCTTGTCCACATCGGTGGCATTCGTCTGGTTGGACATGGTCGTGATATCTGTATCCTCTATGAACCACTTCAGCTTGGCAGGAGGGTTACCTTTCCTGGAGATGCAATGCAAGCGTTTTGGCTTACCAGCCTGGGTAGGATAGGGCTCACCAGGAGGAAGAACATTTGTGTTGTCCTCGATCCGAGGTGGCATTGGTGGTTCTGAAAGAATATAAACATAATTGTAATATATATTCAACAACTGTTCCGAAATACTGAGCAACTTTCCTGAAGTTATCTAGGAATATTAAAATGCATTTAAACATTCTGAAAATGATATTAAAGCGACAGTACTAGAAGTGGCATCATATTACCCCTAATGTTGTTATCATTTTTGCCATTAAGTTATACATGAAACCTATTGTGAGGACGCTGCACTAACTGTACAGCTCCGCTTCAGATTTCACAAATATTCTAAATATGTTGTTACCGTTATTGAACTTGAGCTGATTTGTTTTGCAAGTGTAGCAAGAAATAAATTTTAAATAGTATTCCGGGACGCGAAGATATCTAACTTAATTCTAAGCACTGAAATATTATTCTATCCTTGCAAATAATAAGCCGTTCAAATGTCAGCAGTAATGTAGATTTGGCACATGTATAAATGTACAAACAGATATAGATAAATGAGTCACCTTCGTTAAGATTTTAACATTACAGATTGTTAAACTAATTTTCATGTATAAAACGTAAGTCAAATTGCATGAAATGATAGTAAATTATATACGCACTTCATTCACATTCTGCAATCATAAAAACAACTAGCACTTACTTTATGGATATACAATAATATCCAATTACAACAAATTTGTGTCGGAATGAGAGAACACAACGTACAGAGTCCTTTTTCACGTATGGTAACCGTATCCGCAAGAAGACACTTTTAAACTAAATTATTTAATAGTCATCTTGCCACGCACGGTGTCAATAATCAGGCAAAATGAAAGAAAATTATTTTCGTTTATCCTAACTAACTGTCTTAATTTTCTTCCAATTTATCAACAGTCAACGGACACCTCTCAGTATCAAGTACCCGCTCGACGGATTTTCCGACTAACTCATGGACGAAGATGATTATGCGACGCTGAAAGCCGATATTAGAAGGATACCCCATTACACCACCCCTAAATTTGCAAATTAAGCATCGGAGAGTCAACCGCAAGCCGTTCCAACGTACGAAAAAGCTTTCTTGATCCATTTAAGCGTTAGGAAGTTAAGGGAGAAAAACCGTCCTGGGGCGCACCATGGCTTCATCATTATCATTATGTCATTGAGTACCGGGTATTGCTTATTCATACAGCGCAAAGAGTTTTCGAAGATACGCAAGAGGGGTGGTCTTGGGGAGGGAGAATAACAACAGTAGTTTGATAAATGACTCTAAGAACTCCCATCGGCGAAGCACAACTTTGCGCCCTATTAAAACATGCAAATTATTCATTCGCCGGCGTAAGCAAGTAGTTCCACTTTTAGGAATTTTTAAGGGGTGATTGATGGTTTGGGATGGGGGACCTAAAAGTGAGCTTTTGGTCGAGTTTATGCCCAGCAATTCCTTTTAAAAACCTACGTGGTTCTGAATATTTAGCACATTCATGGGTATGGTATCATTTGCGTGTTAGCTTAATGGAAAGAAAATTTGGAAAGCACTTTTCTTTAGATTTTTTCCAAGCCAGGAACGTAATGATGCTCTGATATGTAATCCATTCGAAGTAATAACAAATATTTTAGACTACACAATGTTTGCTGATTGGTGCAGTAAAAGATGTAACAGCTTAAGGTTACTGTACTAAAAAACCTTCGCTAATTTAAGCTTCGAATTACTAAATCTGCAGTAACAATTATGTAGTAATAAAAATATTCTTTTAGCCGAATCTTTTTGAGTTACTTTAATGTACGTAACGTAACGTAACTTTTTTATCTTAAATTCGAACTGTATGCGGGTCGAATACTCGATCTGAAACCAGGTGAAGGGTCAGAACATTTCTTTTTAACAAAATTTTAAAAACATTTTAAACAAAAGATTAATTAATTAATTTTAAATTTCGCTTACTGATGATTTATTAAAACATGCATTAATAATAATAATAATAATAACAGCACAAAAAAATTTTGTTTATTTTCTACCTGAAATCTAGAAGGTTAGAACCTGCAAGAAATTTCTGTTGGCTATGCTTTGTAATTAAAACGTATTGACAGCTGAATATTACATTTTAAACGGACATTTGTTTCAAATGCTTTCGAAATGATGAATTAATAACCAAATAACTTACTTCAACCGGAAAACTGACAGAAGCACCACCAGCTGTCGGCTTACAAACTAAGTGTACAAAGTGCACGAAAGTAGAAAATGTTCCCAGATTACGCAAGTCACGTGACCTGGCGTACAAGTACACAGTGACAAAGACGAATTCCCAATACTTTTACACCTCAATCCATACTTTACACCTCTAAAACTTTAAGAGCCGTATTTGCAAGAAATACAAAATTTAAATACATTCGCGACCCGCATAAAATTACTTTGAGACCCCGCGGACCGCGGTTTTGAGACCACTATTTAATACATAAACACAAAAATCAAAAGAGTTTAGAAACGTATCGTCTTTCCTTGTTTGATAAGTGTTATTTGCCCTTTTTTCTCTTTGATTTTCCCAATATATGGCCCCATATATATTCTGTTTCTTTATATGAGTACATAAGCAAAAACAACGTACCATTCCTCTTTCATGAGACTCAATTCGAAGTAAAGTCAACAAAGTGCTCAATAGATTTTAAAACAACTCACAACAGGAATTAAAAAATTGAGAAGATAAGTCCTGCTAATCTGCACATTCCAATTACGCAGGCCAACTATGACCGCATTCATCTTGAAATAGTCTAACAGGCAGAGTATATTACAGACCAAATCATATAGAAACTTTCCCAGTTGAAAATTTACTTTCGGATCCCAAAGTTTTCTCAAGATGATAGGATACGACGAGGCTCTTAACGTAGTTATGCAGCTAAAGTCCAGCAAAGACGTAGATCTCTACCATATGTAATAAAAATACAATATGAACATTTTAGTATGTACTAAAAATATGTTTAACTCACCCTTACTTTTTCTTACTTAAACACTTTTGTTTATCATAGCACTCAAGGTAATTTTGAAGTTAATAAAATTGTTTTCAATGATTTCTAATACTAGGCAATGACACGCCCTACCACAAATATTGTTTTAATATATTATTTTTTATTATTGGCAACGTTTACGAGTAAAAAATCTTTAACAGAATAATTCCATATTTAGATTAATTTCTATGTGATTTAAGAAGAGAAAAGAACAATTACAGGCATACTGATAGCAGCGTCGCAGCAAAGCTCATTATTTTAGTTTCTGGAATTCGGAATCTTGTTATTTTCTGTTTAAATTATACTACCCGACATTGAAAATGCAACGCCAAGAAGAAGTGGCCCGAAAATTGTGCAAAATTCAGCGTAGACGCATATCACTGAGTTATGCAAATGATGTAAAATGCGCAGCTCTCCAGCGCACGTTTAAGAAGATATAAGGGAAAGAACCTGCAGAATGTTCAGTTTTCATGCCGTTAATTTCTGCTAGGGAAATTATCGTAGCAAATTTGTTCTTGTCTCGAACGCGTGTAATAGAAGAGAATGCCAGGCCGTTGACAACGGAAGCAGTTGATCCATATGGCAAATCTAAGCTGACATACATCTGGATACGTCCACAGTGCACCGGCTGCGGAGACGACGGTTGGAACAAGGAAATGTGATAAGTTCGAGGGGTACCGGTGCAATCAGAGTAATATACGCGTGGATCGACGCATCCGCCGACAAGCGGTGGCGTTCCCGCAAGTCACTTCTACTTCCATTCTGCAGCATATTCAAGACACCCTGGATGTTCCCATATCGACCAGAACAACTTGCCGTCGTTTGGTGGCTAGTGGTCTGCACTCGTAGCGTCCGTTGAGAAGACTGCCATAGACCCCACATCTTTGACGCCAACGTCCGCAAAGGTTCCGGGCTCGAGCGATGGGGACTATGGTATGGCACAGGGTCGTGTTCTCAGATGAGTTACGCTTCTGTTTTCCAGTGATAATCGCTAGCACGAATGTGACGTGTATGCGGAGACAGGTCCAATCCGGCAGCAAGACAACGTGACATCATGATTTGGGGCGTAATTGTGTACGATTCCAGGTCACCTCTATTTCGTATTCAGGACACTGCTATGGCCCAAACCAAAGCTACGTGGATGATGTTCTGTGACCGGTGACACTCCTTCACCTTCAGAGAGTGTCCATTGCCTTTTATCAGCAGGATAACGCCAGCAGTGTGATGCGAGCAGTGTGTGGTCGGGCATCCACACACTGCTCGCATCAGCCAGCGTACTCTGCAAGGAGTACAGATGCTTTCCTGGCCACCTTTCTCTACTGACCTCTCACAAATCGAACACACTAGGGATGTGATTGCACGCTACTTGTAAACGCTGCCATTGCGCGTTCAGAAGACGAACTGGGGCAAATGATTTACAGGGAATGGAAAGCCATTCCTCAGAACACCATCCGTAGTATCATTGACTCTGTACCTAGACGTGTTGCTTACTGTACCGTCTTCCAAAGTTGTCCTGCAACCTACTTAGCCAACCATTAACCAAAAACATAAACCGTAAATCATCCCCTCATTAATCAAAATTCGCAAGGCATGATATACTAAGTCAGCACATAATTCCACGTGCGCAGACACATAAGTTTACCCATAAAATTTACATAAGACTCTATACTGAATGTTTTATACCTATGAGCCTGTATTTTAATTATATTACTTTGTAACTGTATTTGTATTTTTAATTGGATTTGTATTTTATTTGAATTTTATTAAGAATATGCATCCTCACCATAGCAAATAGCAAAAACAAATGTCAACAGAGTAAAGCAAATGCAATCTGCCCTTGTATGGCCATGTAAATAATCTTGTTAACATCCTAACAAACTCTCGAGGTGGCTTTTTGAGGCCCCAAGGAGTTGTTTCTGATTAGTAGAGGGCGCGCGACGCATACCTGTTTACCTCTATTAAACATCAAGCGTCTCCGCCCTCCCTCACCAACCAATGTACCTACTGAGCTACCACTGCTCTCGCTCTGTATTATGCATATCATTTCGAAAGAAAGAACACTTATTGTTAATTGCTGTCTCTCTTTGCTTGCCGAGTTTCATCACTTTCTGGCCACTCCTTATTGGTGTCCTATTCGCTAATGGCCAACAAATGTCAGTTCTACCTATGAAATTTTACAAGAACAGTATCGGAGATGACCATTGCAGTAGTTGCTGATAAAACACTGAAATCTGTTGTACCCGTTAATTATATTATGACACACCAGTTAACATGCAGAAATGTTGTTGGAAAGTAGCCTTGGCGAGTATGGGTTTTCTTACCCCGCAGACTTTCGAGAATCGAAACACAGAATGACGACATAATTTTCAAAGTTTCAGGCCATGAAGCTTCAAATTAATTCCTGCAGTGAAAATTTAACTTTGTGTACCAATGGGCCCAGGTTCGAATGCCGAAGGCATGAGCATTAGTAAACGCATAATACCTCTGCAGCAAAAGGCCACAAAATTCTCCTTGAGCCTAAAATCATCTCGGGAGTTTGGTGGTAGGAAAACAGGAGGTAAAAGATCGTCGAACGGCCTCTCGGGATGCTCTCTCTCAAAATTGGGCGGAAGCTTATCAATTAACAAGGTCTAATGATACCTAATAATCATAGATTAATGCATAGATGACGATCCTGCTGCAACCTGTACCTGTAGAGATTGAAGAGATCATTAGGTTTTCCAAATGCAGAAACGTGATAAATCTGTCGTGCGTCTGATTCGAACCACGGATATTCCATCGTTAGCTGAACGTCTTAACCACTTACACTACGATAGGATACAGATAAATGCACTAATTCCTTACAGAAATACCGAGGCTTTTGTCTTTTTCTTATTTGTTGCATAATAAAATGTCATACATGATAACGATGTTATACATCTAAAAATAAAACACATTTTCAACTTTCTTCTTTCAAGTTAAAAATGTTATATAGAAGAGTTTGATTTAAAAATATCGAATTAGATTTTTCTCTCAAAAATTACAACTGCAAGCTCCTTTTAATTTACAATAATTTTCAGTATTTTTATTAACATTATTTCCACAAGAAAATTAATTTTTTATTTTGATTCTACAAGGAAATTAATTTCCTATTATGTTTTCAAAAATACATTTAAAGCATAATCTGAACTATATACAACCTAGTTTTGGTTAATATACCTTAAACTATTCATCTTAAATGCAAAATCTATTAATTTCTTGAATATATGAAATAAATACTTCATTCTGGATATTAGTGGAATACTTCTAAAAGTAATGCTCTGAAACCAGCGCATTTAGTTGTATAATTAACATCATCAGGAATACTTACTTATACTGGACATAGGTCTCTATTTTATCCCCTGCAATCTTCTTAACCTCCAATAAAAGTAATAAATCCTTATACATGTGCTTGTAGGTAATAACCAACCTCAGTAATAAAAGTATCTGTATTAATGCCTCCTGCTGTTCTGAGCGGGGCCATAACTTCTAGTTTTATCATACATTATATGAAAATTGAGCTCATAGTGGATATTTATTAACACTGATATGCCTTGTGTTCGAAGTTAGAGATCATAAAAAATTATATAGCAGTGGGTAATGCACTTCTTCCATTATAAGAATCATAACCTACAAAGAATGTATCAATTCGGAAGAAAAGAATTTCTTACTGAATTGGAATATACACTGCGATGCCTGAAAGCAGGATTAAAGATATTATAAGTAATGCTTCCTGGTCGAAAGTATTAGAATGCAAGCAGTTTTTCAAATGTTATGCAACCTAATACTTGTTAAGAGAGCGGATGGGTTTTTTTTGTTCAGCTTTAACCCTTTCCGCACGCTACCTTTCAAAGTTGGAGTTTTGATTTAAAAAAAAGGTAGGCAGTCTAATTAGGCCTAGAGGAGTACGCAAATAAAATATTGTGAAGATAGCACTTATCGTTTAATTCTGTGGGTGTGCCCAAAGTGGGCACATTGATTGAATAGAGCTTCGAAACGAGTGCTGACACGAGCATTGTTGTCAATGAACTGGCCGATGAGATGCGTAGAAACAAAGAATACAGACTCTCAGTTGTCCTAGATTATCGGTGAGCCCGGTCTGGGCACACCTAGGGTTCTCCGTTTGATTTTAGTCAAGATTTCAAGGTAAAAATTTAAAACTAATATAGAATAAGGAGATTAGCATACAGCCAAAAAATAACATACAAATTTCTTTTCAAACAATTCCTTTTATACCTTAAAAATAATCTGGAAGATTTCTTTGAAAAATGAAGGTCTTAAAAAACTAAACATGGCTAAAATATATGGACTGGTTTGTGTTGAGCTGCCATCTACTATAAATAAAGAAGGCTTTGAGTAACCTATAAATCCTTTTTCCTTCAATTTTTCTGTGCGTACAGAAGGAAATTTTTAGGTTTGTCCACACTGTGCCGCAGAGTTTTAAATAATAAGACTGTTTCTATTTGCCTTTAATTTTGTGAAAACAAATTTATTCAGAATAAAGTTTCTAAAGGGATGTTCATAAATATAATTGCACACATATTCATATGCAATGGTGCCTCGGTATACTTTCGTTCTGAAGTAAGTTTAACTGGTACACGATCTGTGTTCGGGCGCGGAAATTTTTGTTTGCTATAAGACATTTGTTTGGACTACGACTCGAGTTTGATGTTCCCACTTGTTTACCTCTTTCGAGACAATGCTAAGACTGCTCATGAGACTGTTGCTACTGATCAGTAAACAACTCTAGCTTAAACTTTGAATTGTTGATAGATTTTGTATTATTTCGACTAAATTCATTACGAGTGAGTTTAAGTAATGTTAATCAAATGAGTGAAGCAAAAACGAAAATGGTTAGGATCACCACGTGGTGCAAAAAGAGACTGTTTGAAAGCAAGAAGATGGTATGTCTATCCGGAACTCAATTATTGCATACTGTATGCTGAGTACGATGGTGTCAATGATTGTGCAGAGAAAAAGATGCTATTATAAATCGGCTAACGTTGCAAAGGAGGTGAAACGTCACAGATACGTTAGAGAATGCGGAAAATTTTTTCTTCATTTGCATAACAGAAAAACATTTATGTATAGTATTGTATTATATTGTATATTTAACATATAACATAAACAGTAACATAGCTCATCGCTGCAGTCAACAGTGTGACATCATAAATGCTTTTCAAAACTAGGATGGAAGTATAATATCCGCTAGCCCTTTGCAAAGCCACCTATGGAACACAATGTACGCGTCATTGCTAGATACATAAAAACTTGCCGATGTTTTTTGCATAGAGAACAAAATGGTGCTAGTAAAGTATGGCAACTTACACACCCTTAACGGGGGACGAAGAGGCTATCAGAAATATAAAAAATTTCCCGAGGCGCTGGGGACCGCACGTCCGCCCTTTCAGCTGATATCCATAATTTAAAAACAGATGAAATATTAATCACAACTGCGAATTTCAAGCAATAAAAAGCAATGAAATCGTTGAAAAAAAAACAAGATTTAATGACATTAAATTTTTTAAAAAAACTTCGGGGGGGGACTAATGTTAAATATATTAAACTCATGGAACATCATCAGTATCATAAACATCGTCATAAATATCACTAAGCATCATTAGCATTAACAGCGAACTTGCAAAAAGGGGCAGGCACCTTTATGCAAGTAGGTAACTGTTCACTTAGATCTTCACATGAGCGCCCCGACATCTTGATAAAACTGGCACTGCTCAATGACAAATTGAACTTCATAAGAGTGTCAGCCGCCCCTTGTGTCCTGGCCAACAACGGCCAATTCGCGAAACGGTACCGGCACCTAGTTGGCCGCGTCGATCAGACTGCTGCTCATCTGCTCTGGTGCGAAGATTTAAATATATGTATTGTCTTTTATTAACGATTTGACAGAAATATCCTACACTTATATATTCCAAGCGATTTGACCCCGTGGACATCTCCTCAGTATTATTAGTACAGATCATTACAGTATTGTGTTTCCAGTACTTAATTATATTGATCTCATTAAGTTCATCTGTTACTTATTATGTTTATCTGCTGTTTTTGAAACATCAAAAGAGATGTTGTTAATCTAATTTGTGAATTTTAAATTGTATTGAAACTGTGTTGTAATCTCTTTATGTCCTAAATCATTATTTTTAATAAAAACTAGATGCGAGATGTAAGGCGGGACTGCACAATGTACCACAATAGGTAAACTCTAGAGCCTTTGGAAAGATTCAGCTGCTCATCTTCTCAACCTTTCATTGTGAACTCTTATAAAGCTTGCATTTTTTTAGGGGTAATTAGTACGGGTAGGCATTACTAGTTGCCTAGCCGTGCAACGCTTTGGCGTTCCCAATACTTTTCAACAGTACCTGCGTTTACATATTGCTGCCCAGCTGCTATAGTAGCTAGAGAAGCTGATCGCCGTGCCGATGGGTTCGGATCTCGGGGAAAGCATGGATGTTTGCAAGCCTATAGTGTCTGTGTGGCAATGGAGCACGGAAAACTTAAAATAGACGGCGAGGTGAAAGCCCTATCGAGAGCCTATGGTTGGGAAGGAGGGGTGAGAGAGCATCGGACAGCCCCCCTTTAGGACATTCTCTCTCAAAACTGCGGCGGGACTGTACCTGAATAACCAATGGTGAATTTCTGGTATCCCACCTACTTCTACCGAAGCATCTGTTATATATAAGAAAAGCAGGTAATTCAGGATAAAAAATATTTTAGCTACATACCTCTAACTGTGAATTTGACTTCAGGTGCCGTCAGCGTTGGTTCCGTGAGGGCTATTTGTGTCACTTGGCATTGCCACATCCCGTCATCCTCCTCTATCTTGGCATTTCGGATCCGTATACTGCAGTCGCCATCAGGGGGTTCTCTATAAAATTCGTATTTGGTATCGATGCGCCCCATCACTTTGCCATCTTTCAGCCATGCACATTCGCCTTGGCGGTTGTGAACTTTGCAAGTGAGCATAGCTGTGTCTCCAGGGTTCACTTCCACGCTGCTCGGTTTGACTTCAAACTGTTGCGCTCCATTGACAACTGATGAATAATAAAAGAAAAATGCTTTATATTATGCACAAATATATATAAATATGATAGTAATATGAAATATTACAAAGTACAGATACAGTAAAGAACTACAAATATATTATTAGTGTTCGACGTTCACTGCATAACTATTATCTGACCTCATTCCAAGTTAATAATAACGAAATTGTCAGAAATTCATGGTTAGGCGATGTGTAAACGATTATTTTGTACGGAAGTGTGAAACATTTTAAGTGTTAGAAAAGTTTTTTCTTAATTGACGGTAAAAATATTTACAAAAATTATACGTCAGATTGCTCCGTATTCACAAAAGTCCTCACTATACCTGTATTTTTGCTGCTGTTGCTGTTAACGCATTACTTCCGTCATAAAAATATTTTAAATGATACAAAAATTGATGAGGTGACATTTTTTAATTTTATAAAAATAGCGAAATCTAACGTTTTATACAGTAGCCCGGTCAATATGCTTAGAACATTTTTATACTCATTATAAAAAATAAACGAAAGGTTAGGCTCAAAAAATTGACCCAGATATTAAATTTCAAAATTTGCGATTTTTGACGTCATTTTCCATTTGCCTTGAGGAGTCGCTTAATAAAAAAATTAGAATAATTCGAGGTTGATTTTTTTCCTCTTAAATGCCATTTATTGTTTTGTTATTTACTATTGTCTTTAATTTATTTTGTTACATTTGGTAAGGTGAAGAAATTTTGACACGCCAAAATACGTTATTAATATTTTCTCATACAGTTTTATTACTTAAAATCACAATATAATAATCATAAAAAATTCATTAAATTAGTAATATTTTAAATTTTGAATGTATGCACATAATGTTATGATTTGTCTATGTGCCAATGCTAAAACTTCTCTGTATTTTCTAGAATATGATTTCTTTAAGATTCTCTGAACCTTATAAAAATTAGAATGATTTATACTTTTCACAATATTCTGCCTAGGAATGCCTGTCACTTAATCTATCAACTTAGAACCCTTTTCTTAAACTGATATTTTATTTTATATTACGTAGAAAAGCAAACATTGTGCTCTTTAATTTGTGTACGACCCCTGAATGTTACCTTCAATTTTAAAATGAAATATTCCGATCGTTTTTTGATGTACGGGAGTGGCACCCTTTGTATTTTGTTTTCGATTCGATAATGAGTATAAAACTCTCTTAAATATAAATATAGCGAACAAGAGGATGTATAAAAAATTTTACAATATTTTTCAATATTATTTTTTTTAATTTAAAACTGTTAAACCATAAATTTTTCCTCATTTAAAACACGGGAAGTACATGTCTAATAACCACAGTTTGCGAAAACAAACGCACAATGTTTGCTTTTCGAAAATCTATTTCAAGATTTCTGTGGGTGTGGTGCATTATAAACTTTACAAATAACCTGCATCATTAGATGTATAACAAAAAATAAAATACAGATGCAAATTACTTTAAATTATATATTGTTTTTTAAATTACTCAGGCTGTTAAACAAGGTAGATTTGCAACTGGAGAGAAAAATTTAAATTCTTGTACTGCGTAGAATGAAAATGACTATCATAATAATCTGTTTTCTAGGCTGCATGGTTATGGTATAAACTTAGAGCCAAAAATATTTCATTTAGAGGAGTTTGGTAACCGAAAAAATAAATTCATAAGCATTTTTATTGCTCAGTTTTTATATAGGTACAAACCTTTACTGGAGGATTATTGAATTATTATTTATCTTATATTGCTGATAGTATAGAAATAAAGATAAATACATTTATATTTGTTTCTAGGAAACTCTACTAATTGGCTGAAGTTAAAAATAATTATAGATCTTCTATTCAATTTAATCTGTAATTAGGAATTACAAACTGTAACTAAAAGATCAAATTATTTGATATTATGAGATTCATAACAGATAATGATTTATTACCTGTTCATTACAGCCGGAAAAGATCATAAAATATTTGAAGTTCTGCATGTTTAACTCCCATTATTTTTAAGTGTCAAACTAAAGGAGGGCATATAATTTTTAATATACAGTTACAAAAGATTGTTATTTCAAATACTGAAGAGTCATAAAGAGTATCTATGGCGCCATCTCTTATTATTTTCTTAAAGTAACTAAGATTGCGGGAAAGCTAAATAAATCACTATAACGTCTAGTTACACAACTCCCTTATTATAATATTGGGGTTACCAGAATTAAACTTGTTCATACCGAAATTGAATAATTTTTCAAGATCTATTGCCTAACTCACAAAAGTGATAGGCTAGAGATGGTTTACTGTTAGTGAATTGGTTCAAGGAACTGAGTGAATTGGTTTCCTGAACGAGAGAATGCTCATTAATTAAAAAAAAAAAAAAGAGAGAGAAGTGAAGTCTGTTAAAGTTTACCTACGAAGAGCTTTTGTTTGAAACGTGCCAGAAAAGACCTATTCCCATTTTAGAAGCTAAAAGAATGTTTATATTCCCATGCTAAAGGTCAGGTTAAGTTTCATCATTTCCCAACTTTTTTAACATCATTTTACTAGAATTTTATAGTTAATTCTACAGAGAAAGGTAATTGTAGGAAATCTCTAAACTACAGTTGAAAAATATCAGTTCAGGGAATTAGCGGTTGAACTGAGTCAATTCTTTGGAACCCGCTGCTCTTTCGATTCTTTCAGCTGTTCGCTAAATATTCTTGCACACCGATCCTGCTTCATTTCTTCCGATGTTAGTCATCAAAGTTACTGTTAGTGAGCGGTGAGTTATACAAATGAACCGACTGAGTTCAGTGAGAAAACAGTTCTGATCTCATCTCATAAAAGAGCGGTTTTGTCCACCTCTAGGTCCTCCTCAGCAATGGATTAGAAACTATCTTCTTACCACTTCTTTTTTCTCTTCCGTAGCCAGATCCTATGCTAGCACTATTCTACCGCAATATACTTACTTACAGTTATTAAAAGATGCATGCTTAATGCAGTAGAGAATATGTACGCTTAATGCAGTAGAGAGTATGAGAATCGTATACTATATACTGGGCAGTGTAATAACAGTAAAATTCTCTATATGACGTCAATAAAACTCATGACGCATTTTATTAATCAAACCGTGTTAGGGTATTTTCAGATCCGATGGTTAGGCAGCGTTATAACAGGAAAGTTATGTATATAAGGGCAATAAAACATATGACGAATTTTATTATCCAAAGCGTGTTAGAGTATTCACGATTCGGATGGTTAGGCAGCACTATAACTTGAAAGTTCTCTACATAATGTCAGTAAAACCTATGACGCATTTTATTGATCAAAGCGTGTTACCGTATTTGTGATTCCGATGGCTAGGCAGCGTTATACATTAGACATTTGATTTCTGTCTTTTGCACAGTCACTTCTTATTTCTCATATTTTCATATTCACAAAGGCCCTAAGGGACAATTTTTATTTCATGTAGGGATTTCGCACATATATATCATACATAGGACATATTATGACACCCTCACATCTCCGTGTTCTTGCAACACAATAATTACAGGCAAGGGCCTATATTTTTCCTTCCTCATCTAATTCACCTATTAGTGGTAATTCAAATAAGGTCTCATACGCGAGGAATCCCTGTTTTAAGGGGCACCTGAGGTGCTGATAAGAGCGCGATGAAGTTCGCGCTGAGACCAGCCTAAGAAACATCACAGTATCACAGCAGCGTTATAACATGAAAAGTTGTTAAGTAAGGACAGTAAAACACATGATGCATTTCATTAATCAAAGCGTATTAGAGTATTTACAATTCCGATGATCAGGCAGCATTATAACATGATTTTCTCTAAATAAACTAAGTAAAATACATGACTCATTTTATTAGAGTATTTACAGTTCCGTTGCATATTTGTACGTGATAGGATACATGATTACCAAATATATATATTTTCTAGCTAAAACAAGTTTAGCTTCTCTAAGAAATTTTTTAAAAAATATTCGAACTTCTAAATTTGGAAATAATTCCTTCTAACGCTTACAAGTTAAAACAGATTTGCTTAGCCAACTTCAGTAAAAGGATACTCTAAGCAAACAACTTTAATTCTTCTCTATGTTCTCGTTCAATTCCAAATGCGGGAAGCAGTTTTCGGTAGAAGAAAGGGGGGAGGGAGAAAAACGGAAACTTCCCTTTTCCCTTCTCTTTGGCAGGTGTGTTTATCGAAGTGCAATCCAATTAGGAAAACTTTTATTCTTATCCCTCTCTCTTTTTCCCCAAAGCAAGGAAAGCACGCACCAAATTACTCCTACAACAGGAGTAGAAATATTTATTTTTGGATGCTTCTTTGTTTCCCCTTAAATGATCCCTTTAATTGGAACTTCTTTTCCCTTTCGGCTCTTCGCACTTACCTCTCCGGTTTTCACAGTGAATTCCAAATTTCCGATTGGTGTTCGAGCGCCACCTGGGGAAGAACGCGGGCATACTATGATGAGAGTTGCGGTTCGAATTTTTCTTCGGCAAAGAGAATTTGAAATTAAATGGAAGCCCCACGTTAAAAACAGAACAATTTTAAATGGCGCATATAGAAATTAGAGAAAAATAGTATATAGTAACATACTTGATGTGAAAATATGAGAATATTTATAACAAGAATACCGTATTTCCCTCCTCCCCTCTTTATTTCCTAATTTTACTGTCCGAAAATCAAGAAGAAAAATTCACGCGAATAATGTAATTTCGGGAAGGTGCGATTACAGTAAGAACGTAACAAATGGAATATAATCAAAGATAGAAAAACTACACGTAATTAACATAATATTATTTCTTTAAATCAAACCTATATTCCACGTAAGAATATACAGCTACTTTAGCATTACAATATTTAAAAAATATATCTTCCTTTCTACTTCTCTGTAACTAGAATTTCGCCCGTTATTATTGTTCCCTCTCCTGCTCCTTGAGCATCAAATTATCTATAAATAGTTTGAGAAGGTGAATGTGCAGCTGATGCGATGAAATCGTAGACCGAATGTCAGTTC